CTCGCACGCGGGCACGGCGTGCTCGCGCGCTCCTTCGGCCTCGAGCTATGAGCAGCTTGGGGAGCCGCCGCGGCGGCAAGGCGGCGCTTCGGCCGACCGTCCGAGCCCCATTCCATCGGAATTCCGCGCCCCTGGGCCCTCTCCTCGTCCCTCTCTCCTCCCTCCCCCCTCCTCCCTTTCCTCTCCTCCCTCCCTTTCCTCCCCCTCCCCCATCCCCCCCCTCCCCCTCCCCCCCCCCCCTCCCCCCTCCCCGCCTCCCTCCCCCCTCTACAATTACTCAATATGAATATACTCTCCCTCTTCCCCTGATGGCGTCCGGGTGATGGCCGCGCACCCTCCGCGTACTGTTTTTTTACACAGGATGCCCGGGAAATCCCGGGAAACGACTCTCGCTGAGGCGCCGGCGTCATTTTTTCCCAAAATGCTGCTCTCGTTGGGGCGCCGGCCTCATTTCTGCTCCCGAATCGTTCCGAATCGTGCTCCCGCTGCAGCGTGGGCCTCATTTCGGATCGGTGTTTGGCCTCCGTCGTTCAGGATGGCGTTCTCGCCCCAGCGCGGGCCTCTTTCTCGCGCGCCCATCCGCCCGCCACCACCGCGCCGCACCAACCACCACCACCACCACCACCACAACCACCACCAGCACCACCACCACCACCACCAGCACCACAACCACCACCAGCACCAGCACCAGTACCAACACCACCACCAGCACCACCACCACCACCACCACCACCACCATCACCACCACCACCACCACCACCACCACCAGCACAAGTACCAACACCACCACCACCAGCACCACCACCACCACCACCAGCACCACCACCACCACCATCACCACCACCACCACCACCACCACCACCGCTACCACCACCACCACCACCACCACCACGACAACCACGCACACACGCACGCACGCACGCACGTGCACCACCACCCACTACGCACGCGCGCGCGGAGCCACAGGTCCGCTACCACACGCGTCCGCGGATAGAGAAAATCAGCGCCATGGTAAGGGATGGGAGGGAGGGGTAGGACGTCAGATATGACGCGAGCGCACCTAGCTTTTCCCTCCCCCCTCCTCCCCCCCCCCTTTCCTTCCCCTCTCCTCCCTTTTCTCCCCGCCTCCTCCCCTCCCCCGCCCGCCCACCCGCGGCGCGGAGGTCGACTCCACACAGTCAGCCCCCGCCGTGGTGGACGCGCCCGCCTCCGAGGACGGCAACAAAGCGGTCGACGCTGGCGGGGGCGCGGCCGCGCACGCGAAGGACTTGGCCGCCGTTTTCGCTGAGGAGGAGGAGGAGGAGGAGGAGGAGGAGGAGGAGGAGAGGGAGGAGGAGGAGGAGGAGGAGGAGGAGGAGGGAAAGGAGGTGGAAGAGGAGGAAGAGGAGCATGATGAGGGACAGGAGGAAGAAGAGGAAGAGGAGGAGGAGGACTTGGCCGCCGTTTTCGCTGAGGAGAAGAAGGAGGAGGAGGAGGAGGACCAGTGTAAACCCAAGAGTCATCAACGATGTTGGAGGAATCCTCCCTCCAAGCTCCCTCTTCACAGGCCCCTACAACGGTTCATTTCCATTGATGGAAGTGCCTCGTTGGGAGTTACCCGTTTGAAGACCCTGCAACATGCCAAAACATTGCCCTCGGGATTCCAAGCCAGGGATCAACCTGACTGTTGCGTCTTGACGATCCTGAATCGTGCCAGAACACCATTCTTAGGACTTCAACACAAAGAAGCAACGTAACTGTTGCACCCGCATAATCCTGAATCTATCCAAAACATCATGCCTGGTACGTTGATGATGGGAATCCGTGGAACCCTTGATTTTTTTAACGAATGTGCGCCGCGCTAAGGCGAGAACCACATTTTGAAAAGGAGCCGCCCTCAATCCGTGAAGCTCTAACAAATGTTTAAAACGAATGTGCGCCGCGCTGAGGCGAGAGCCGCATTTTGAAAACCACCCGCCCTCCATCTGTGAAACTGTTGCCACTTTTCCAGCTTCAGAATCAGAAATGGTGAAGAAGTAGTCTCATGCGAAACGCCCGGCCCGCCCTAAAAACAGGCCTCGGGGTGCGACAGGGAAAAAGTTATTTATAAGGAAAAGAAATGGAGGAGGAGAAGGAGGAGGAGGATGAGGAGGAGGAAGAGGAGGCCCTCTTGGGACGTCTTTGGGGCTCTCGGGCTTGGGGTCCCGCGATCCCTGGCGGGGATCGCATTCTGACACGCGACCCGCCCCAGGACCCCCCCCAGGACCCGACTCCCCCTCTTACCCCCCCGGGGGTGAACAGGATCAAAGGGAGGGGATTTCCCTACGACTCAAGTACGACGTTGCTCAATTTCGCTTTGGTTCCGCGTTGGCTGCCTCGCTCGAGGAGGGCCAAGTAGAAAGGGGGAGCGGCGACGGGCCCAGGGAAAGGGGGCCAAACGCACCGGCGACGGCGACGACGAGTCAAACAGGATAGCGCCTTGAAGAGGAAGAGGAGGAGCAGACGATTACGGCTGCTACTG